GACTTAAAGAATTTTCGGGAAATTGATTAAATTATAAAATAAATGGTCTTTGATGATTATAATAAATATAAACTTCTTTCTTATGTTAATAATTATAAATATATAATTGTAAATATATGTGATATTTCTTATGTTAATAATTATAATAATAATAAATTTGGCGTTTACAGCCAAATAAATAGATCCAGGCGAAGGACGGTAAAAAATAAATGAAAAATAAAATGTCATAAAAGATATATTTCAACATGACAATAAAAATGAACCTTCATTCTAGAACCAAAGACTTTAACATACCCAAATATTATAATTATTTTGTATGATATAATTATTGCCAAGTTTGCAAAAATTATATTGGCATACGTACCGCAAAATCTGTTAATAAGATGAAATTCTTTTAGTCCATCGTACACACTGGCTATATCTTGAATGAAAACGTGACGATGGTAGCCCGATAACAGTGAGGATAGTGCGAGTACATCGAGTACCTCTATGGTGCGACAGAGGCTGAAGGAACATGATTATGTTTTTCAGATACAGTAACTATCTCATTAGCATAGGTGATGATAAATGCACGGCAACCATGGTGAATGTGGGTGGAACACCTCCAGCGAACCTTCAGTGTCTTGGAGGGGACGGAACTATACGTGTAGCCTTTCAGCTTTATCATTGGCCTGCCCTTTTGTGACGTCACAAATTCCGCTGTGAAAGCAAAAATGGAATTAATATAACCAGATTTATATCCGTACTAGTAACACAAAATTCTGGTGTCTAGTGGGTCACATTATTAGACATCTAAGTATATTCATCATATGTGATCACAATGGCACATATGATGAATATGTGCCATTGTGATCACATATGATGAATATGTGTGGGACTGTAACTTTACTTTACTTTTACTTTTATACAAACTGCGATTAATCAAACGCAAACAGATTGTAAAAAATAATTAATATGTTATAGGATACACAATATGTATCAATTTGGTTTTTCTTACGTTAAACAAGATCGTACAGAGTTGAATTCTTTATCAGCGTCAGCAATTTTGTCAAGTTCACACACAATTTCAGGGTAATTTATATTACGAAACTTTTGAATAATCTTAAAAAAAAAACATCTAGACATGGGTAAGTACTCGAAGTCAGCCATTCAAGCGGGAAATGAAAATATTTATCAATTGCTATACATAAGTTTTTATTAGGAAAAAAAAATGAAAAAAATCTTTCTAAAGAGGTAAAAGTTAAATTGACATAGGCAAAAAGTCTTCTGATGTTTATATTTATTTGTAAAGCTCTTCTAGTTCACCTAAAACACTAGTACTGACGATACACTGACATTATCCCGACTGTAAACGTGACAATGAAAGTCCGATAACATTGAGGGTAGTGCGAGTATATCGAGTACCTCTATAGTGCGTCAAAGAGTTAAGGAGCATGATTATGGTTTTCAACGACATTAACTATAACATTGTCATAAGTGACGACGCATGCACGGCAACCATGGGGATGGTGAGTGGAACACCTCCAGCGAACCTTCTGTGTCTTGGAAGAAATGGCGCTATACGTGTAACCTTTCAGCTTTATCATTTGCCTGCCCTTTTTCGACGTCACAAATTCCGCTGTGAAAGCAAAAATGTAATTAACATAACCACATTTTATTTAACTTGTGGGATGATGGTATTTTCTATGAGATGATGAGATTGACTTTGAAACTATACTAATTTTTCGCAGAAAAGAGCCATAATATCAACTTATAACCTAATACCGAGAAAGTCTTTCTAGTTCTGGATAGGTCCTTCCTTCCTCCTTCCTTTTATCTACTTATACTGCCAAACAGCAGTGTGTGTACTCCTGTGTGATCTTTTTGTTGGTCCTCAAAGGTGACGCATCTGCAGCCAACTTCTGCTGTACTGCAGCCTGAAGATAGCTGCAATAGCCTATTACCATCAATGGTTCATTTATCACTTTAGTTTTAAAAAAATAGTTACAGAGAAAATTTTAAGGTTAAAAATATATTATCTATAGTGTCTCAGTATACGTCGGTTGTGTTCTTCTGACACTTCTCAAAGATGCAGGTTTCTCGTAATGGTTTCTTTCACTGTCATGTAGGTGTTCTTCCACTGTACGTTTCAAAAGGAGTTTTCTTCCGCGTACAACCTCTGTGGAATAGTTTACCACCGGACCTTCAAGAAAAGAGCTTACTCCTTTCTAAAGGGCCGGCAACGCACCTACGATTACCCTAGTGTTGCGGTTGATCATGGGCGGCGGTAGTCACTTAACATCAGGTGAGCCGCATACTCGTTTACCCCCTCTTCTATAAACAAAATAAAAAAACGTAATACACTACCTAATAATTGCTTATTAATATTGCTAATTTTCCACAAAAAATATTGTAAAATTATTACACAAGTTTCTTATATCTATATTATACAGTGAGAATGGCTACGCAGTTGACGCCATATATATAAAGTGATAACATTATTTTGTGTTAAATTTATATTTAAATATAAAAGTAATTTTATTTCCAATATTTTCATAAACAGTTGTTGTGGCTTAAATAGTTAGAGTCCCGTGTCTTAATTATGTTCTATAATAATGAATACTATCTATATAATAAAGTAAGATGATAAGTGGAGTATGTAGAAGCAAAATAATCTACACTAATTAATTATAAAAATCAATGACTGAAACTAATAACAGTTGCAACTGAAAACAAACAAAAAAATAACAAGAAAGGTAGAATTGACATACATACAAAATGACATTATGATATTTAACATTTTCATAATCTATTATTTTAGCATCTGTTTAATAATTTAACACTATTTACAGTAGAATTATGAATCTTATTAAATTTATTTGAATTATTAAACGTCAGGAATTAAAAATAAGTTAATTAAACTAATGTTTCATTTAGTCCCATAAAAGACTTTAGAGTCGATTCTTTCTTCATCTGTGAGTTTGTATGGCTACATTCTTAAGGTTTTACTATTTAGTGGTTAGTTACATAACCACGCAGCCGGCTGCGTGGTATGCTATGAGCATTCACCGCCTCCCTCCCCCGCTTTCCGGAGGGTTGCCCATATTTGCTTCGGACGCAAAAAAAAAATACTACGTTGTGTTTCGTATGGTGAATGTAGAGATCCGGAGACCCTTTTTTACTGGAAAGGAGGCATTCCATTCCATAATCTGTTTCCACCAAAGGCGGGGCAATTCTCCAACAGATGTTCCAGCGTCTAAACTGTGATGTTGTCGCACGGACGTTTGTCATCATTAGTGATTTAAAAACGATAAAGATATGATGATGAAAAATTTTGTGAGAAAGAAGTTAGTTGAAACCAATTTCGAGATTCAGTCAACATGATGAAGCAGCTCATGTATAGCAGTGGGTTTCTCGTAAGGAATGTCATGCGTGATGAAGTCAGACAACCCCAGCAGTATCGTCTTTTCTATACGGATTTCTTTGATTGTAAGGTCTAGGGGCATAAACACTTTTCCTAATTCCATATTCCCGCATCATGTGTGTGGTGATGGTGCCTACGGTCAGTAGGCACCATCACCTGATGATATATTGTACTGAAATTTTCTAGTTGAGCACCCCAGGTGGGCCTCGCGTACATACGAAGGGTATTAAAGATTAGCATGGCCTTGGTTATAGGATATCAAATGTAACGCCAGCAGTTTTAATTCTGGTTCAAAAGTGAGATGGTGCCAGTAAAAATATTGGCCGCTTTGGGTGTAAATACTTATACGTGGTAGAGCCATGCTGCAGTTATATTAGTAGTATAGTTGTAGCACGAATAGGTCGGCTCGACCGGGGAAGGACCACGCTCTCACAGATTACCAGCGTAAAATAGTAGCTTAATGCTGCTGTGTTTCGTATAGTGAGTGTAGAGAACCGGAGACCCTTTTTACTGGAAACAAGGCATTCTATCTTAGTCCTCACGGGTGAAACGCATCTGCATTTTGATTTGTAATCGAGGATAGATGTAGGGCTACAGCAACCACTTACCATCAGGTGGATTGTATGCTCGTTTGTCACCTTATCCTATAAAAAAAGATAAGTTTTGTCTTGGCGGGTCCGATTCGCCACGATTCCAGAGCTGTATAGCCAGAATTGCCAGGCTTGGGGATGATCTTAACGTATCTTCAAGATGCTACTATATACTAAACATAAAAAAGTTAGGGGTAATCACTCCCATTATTTAGACATATAATTCCAAATTCACTGCACATAAACCGCATTTCTGAAAATGCATCCAGGAGTCCAGAATATAAGTCTGTGACAGAATTCGATGATTTCTTTTCGAAGGTGCTTGGTAAGAGGAAGACGTGAATGCCTTCAAAACCACCCGCGCGCTTCCAGTTTCCAAGACAGGCGACCATGTGGTTTTTGGTATTTTCCTAATATCTCCGGAACCACAGAAGGAAAAAATTTGAAACCTCGTAGGAAGCTGAGCCTTGATGGAAAACACTGAACGCAAACATTAAGTAGGTCGTAGCTATTAAGCGCACGCCGAAGGAATATATTATATTTTCAATTTACAAATTTTGGGTTTTTGCCTAAATATGGGTCCAAACTTGGTGTGCAGCCAAAACCAAAATCAATAACGTTTTTGGTTTTAGTCGCACAAACTCACTTTTTCGCGACTTTTGGTGTATAATTACACTTATTAACGTAACGCAACAGATTTTACCACTTTTACGTTTCTTTTAACTGTGGAGCGGCCTAATAATACACTAAATAGGTAAGGCGAAAATCATCACTGAAAATTGTAATTAGCAATTTCATTGGGGACTGGTTTCATTGGTGAGAATCAAACTCAGTTTGTTCAGGTACTATTAAATTTTAAAGCGGGCGCTTATCACCTGAGCTATTGCGGCTCTCTCAGGCAGTAATTAAAAAAGATTGTAAATATGTGAGAGAGATCGGTACAAATACATTTTTATTATTAAATACAAAATACCAAAAATGTTCATTATTTCAAAAAGCAACATGATTTATGGCTTGTGATTATGTTCACCCCTTATAGACAATATTTCGTCTGCGAACGTGACGAGGGCAGCTCGACAACCGTGAGGGTAGTGCGTGGAGCATCGCCACCTAACTTTAGGGCCTTTAGCTGGAGTCGAACAGAACGTGTATCCATTCAGCTTGATTAGAGGTTTACCCTTCTGCGATGTAATGTACTCCGCTGAAAAATAACGACTTTTTAATGATTACATAAACTAAAAGCTAGAAAAAGTTAAATCATCTAGTACGGCTACACTTCATACTTCAACAGCCTTTTGAGTACACTGCTGGACCTAGGCCATCAGAATATAAGTTATCATGTTTTACTTAGATTTTTGTTTACTACACTGAGAAAGTGGGTAATCTTTTCCAATTATTTACGTTAAGCATTTCTAGGTGAATTTTTTAACTCTGATAAACCTGTACTTGACTACATCCTAATGGATGAATTAGTTTGAAAGAAAGATGCTGGAAACTTATTCCACCTCATTGTTGTACTAATCAGGAACGACGAAGTAAACCCTTTAGTTCAAATTCGAATGAGCGGTATGATAGCCACAAAGAAGTGGTCACTGGCCGAGTGTCTGTCTGTACAACGGTGGAAGGGTAAAGGAGGTGTTAAGGTATATTTGTGTTAAGGTATATTTAAGGTATATTCCGACATCATTCGGTCGTCAAAGACCTATCCGTTGAAAGGTGAAAGCACTGTATGCAGGTGAGATTGGCAGTTGGTATAACCTTCCTTATACTATCGTATCTCACTACAACCTCTCTGGTATGTGTATGATTTACAATCAAATATATTTACAGAAATATAAGTAGATTTACTATTTATTGTTATTTTTAGCTCCCCTCTAATCTAATTACAAAGTTATTAATTACACAACTACTCAATTTGCGTTGGACCATTTTTTGGAGGTAGGAATACTTCCATGTTTTATTTGCGTTCTCTGCCTGTATAACTTTTTTTGTTTAAAATCTAGGATTGATTTAAAAATCGTAAATTAAAACTCTATTACATGGCTACACTTAACTCCTTTACTTATTACAGAAGACATGCAGACATATAAATCATAAGAAAGGAAATAAAAAAAGTTTTATAAAATCTCATTTTATAATTTCTTTCAGGAGACATTAAAGAATTTTCTACTTTTTGGCGCGAATTATATTTTAATAAACCATATCAATTACTATAATATTATTTTATAAATGAAATTAGGTCTTGTTTAAAGGTTAACATTTAATTAAGAACTAGATCTCAGAGGCATTGCATACAAATACATTGGTACAGTACAGAAAAAAGGTACAAGACGCCATCACAAAAAGTGAACTCTTAAGCTTTCTAATTACTAAAGATTAAGTTATTTCCTATGGTAACACTACGTTAGCTAATCTCATAACCAGACAAAGTAAGGCATATCCATTGATTGGATTGAGGAATTTAAGGATTTATATTTATAGAAGATTATAGTTTTTTATATCATATTTTATAACACGAATGATCCAATCAGCATATGTAACAGAAAGCTAAAATAAATTCACGTTTACAATGAAATATTAAGAAGCAATTTCTGCAGTCAGAAACCATACTTATCATTTATTTTTTGTATTATGTGAATGTTTTGTTGATTAATACTATTTATTCTATTCCAGATATCAGGTTTTATTATTGTCTTTGTAAATGAGTAAATAATGTAAAATGTGATACGAAATATACCGGAAATGTATATGAACATCATAGTATCAAGATGATTTACGCAAAAGAAGAAGAGTAATCCTAAGTCTAAGGCCCGAGATGGAAAACGTTCAAAAAAGCGTGTAACATGGCGGCGTGTTTCCCATATTACTTAAGTATGCGGCCTTTAGTATATTTTAGTTCGACAGTAATACAATACTCTTCACTAATGCTTTACCCTGTAGTGGCGGTTAAAGAATATCCACTACCCCATATCATCCCGTGGGTGTCGTAAGAGGCCACAGAGGGAAACAAATCAGGAGATGGGCAGCAGCGTCTTCCTGATAACAACTAAAGATAAAAATCTGCGGTTGCCAAGCCGCTTGCCAAGCGTGGTAAGCATGGCAAATATCCTAATACGAGGCAATCAATGGGGGAAGCCTAGGTTCGGCAGTGGACTATACGACTGTAAAGGTAAAGCTATAGCCCAAGGAGAACGATAAGTAGGACTATGCGTAGCGGAGCGTTTAGCATGTATATTGAGCGGTTGTCCCTCAGGAAACTGATATTAGGCGGTATGACCCCTATTCTGCTTGGGACCCCATCTGGGTCCACTCAGTTACCAATTTCTGCAACCAAACAGCAGTGCCAACACTGCTGTATTCCGATCTGCAGGGTCTAAAGAGCACAATTACTAAATGTGAAGCATCCCTTAGTCCTCAAAGATGACAACGCCTGCTTTGTTTGAAGTTAGTTGGCTACACATGGGCTGTAGTAACCACTCAGCATCAGGTGGACTGTAAGAGGGTACGGCTCAACACCGGGACGCTCTTATAGAATACCAGCGTAAAATAGCAGCTTAAGGCCGCTGTGTTTCGAATGAACCGATGACCCTTTTAACTAGAAACGAAGCATTCCATCTTACTCCTCAGGGGTGACAACGCATCTGCATTTTGTTTCTTAATCGAGGATTAATGTAAGCGTACGGGCCACAGCATCCACTTACCATCAGGTGGACTGTGTGCTAGTTTGTTACCCTTATACTATAAAAAAAGCTCACAACTCTACACTCTCAGCAAACACTCTCGTCACTAAGTTTCCACACGAAAAAACTAGAATGCATGTTACTTTTCTCTTTATACATAAGAAGGCGGATGGTTATGCTTATCGTTTAATGTAACGATTTGATTATTCACGGTGTATAAGGTAGCGTGGCATCTGTGTCGATTGTGAGTGGAGCATCTCCAGCGTACTTTGCATCCAGATAACGTAGTCGACGAGGAATAATATGTATAGCCTTTAAGCTTCACCAGATATTTTCCTTTCTTCGACATGATGAATTCCGCTGAAAAGAAAATCAGATTTTAGTGTACTTTCCCTTTTATTATCCGATTTTTTCTGTTTCAATATACTACACATGATTTCCTTTTTTTGCTTAAAAATTCGTATAGGAATGGAAATTAAATTTTTTGTACACATTTAACAGTCGTTATGTATGTACGGAATAAAAGGATTTATACGAATGAAGCTAAAATGATGAATGATGACACTTAAAATTTTAATATCATTTTCAATCATTCATGAATTTCCATGCCACCCATTCATGCCTATCAGAACTCCACTGGTGAACAAAGGCCCCAATACATTGCCTTGACTGCCTCGTTGGTCTAGTGGTTGTAGTAGTGCGACTGCTGATCATGAGGTCCTGGGTTCGAATCCCGCGTCGGGCCAAAAAATTAATTAATGAGCTTTTCTGTCAAGAAATTCTCAGTAGCTGCCCGGAGTCAGGAAGTTGGCGGTGTCTCACCCCCGTGCCTCGGAAAGCACGTAAAGCCGTTGTCACTGCGCCTGATCTCTCTCCGGTCGTGTCGGTTTACCGTCCCATCGGATTATGAGAGTGAGGGAATAGAGAGTGCACCTGTGCTTGCGCATACACTTGAGCACTATAATCCTGTCCTGCGCCGATGGCTAGACTCCGTTGAGGCTGGCCGCCGTGACCGAAATTCGGTCTGGAGGACATTATCATTATTGTGGGGTATCAACATAGTTTTCTCATCTGGTTGGGTTCTATAAATATATAATTATAAATGAAAATGAAAAGATAAATATACATAAATATCAATAACATAAAATAAATATAAAAAATACATATATAAATAAAATCCCAACCAGATGGAGGCCCTCGGCAGGGGAGACCAAACGGCCGAGGGTTAGGGGGAAAGGGAAAGAAACCGGCGGACGATGCGGGCGGTATCGAGGAGCACCGCCTTCTGCATTTGAGCCTGGAGCGGTCCGCCACGTAGTCCCAGCCGCCTCAGATGACCCGAGAGGCTGACTGGGATTAGCCCGTTTGCAGAGACGACTACAGGAATAATTTAGGTCGGCAGACCACCCCACATGTCGGTCACCTCGTGAGCCGGGTCCAGATATTTTGTTTGCTTATCTGTTTCGGCTTTCACGAGGTTCTCGTCATACGGAATGGTAAGGTCGACCAAAAATATCCTTGACTGTGCCCGGTCCATCAGCACAATATCAGGCTTATTCGCAAGAATAGTCCTGTCTGTGATGATGGCTCGGTCCCAATAGAGCCTGGCGCGATCATTTTCGAGCACGGCTTCCGGCAAGTACTTGTAATACGGGAATTTCCGATCCACGAGACCGTATTTCAAAGCGAGCTCCTGGTGAAGAATTCTGGCTACTAGGTTGTGCCTGTGCAAGTACTCAGAGTTAGAAAGCGCCGAACAACCGAAGATGACATGCCTAAGTGACTCACCGGGATGGCGACAAGCTCGACAGATGTCGACGGTGCCATCCTTTAGGATGTATCTCCGATAGTTGTTGGTCTTAATAACCTGATCCTGTATTGTACAGACAAAACCCTCGGTTTCCCCGAAGAGATCACCAAAGCGTAGCCAGTGGAGGGACGCTACTGTGTCTACGAAAGGCTCATAGAGAGCCTTGTAGAACCTCCCGTGGAGCTCCTTCTCCTTCCATACGATCTCCCGGTCGGAAATGCTCTGTACTGCCGGGCCTTGATATTGCTCGTTGGCTAAGGATAGAGGGGTAAGTTCTTTATCACAAGAAATGACGTCCTTATAGAATGGATCATCCGATCTCGCCAGGAAGTAATCACGGAGGCTGCACACTTCGCGATTATGCATGGTGAGCGCGCTCAAGAAGCCACGCCCACCATGCTTTCGCGGCAAGTACAGCCTCATTACCGACAATCTCGGATGATGCATCCTATGGGACGTCATTGTAGTGCGGACTTTTCTATCCAGAGCGTTAAGTTCAGTCTGAGTCCACCTGAGTATGCCAAAGGTATACATGAGAACAGGCATGACCCAACCGTTATATGCGTGTGTCTTATTCACACCGGACAAAAGGCTGTTAAGCACTTTGGTCAAGCGTGCATAAAACACGTGGCAAACTGACTGTTTCATACCAGCCTCAACGATACCAAGCTTGGAAGGCGCCTCAGTATCTGCAGATTTTTATTACTTGAAGTTGTTAGCAGTAAGATGCTGCCGCCCACGACCTGTTTCACATCCCTCTATCGTCTCTTACTACACTGTCTTAGAAAATTCTCTTAATTAATGATAAAATGTATTGTAACTAAATAGTTACAATACATTTATCAATATTTAATAATACACTGTCTATTTAATATATCATATTAAAAAGTTATAACTTACTATTCGAAGACAAATAATTTTATTTTATTTGGTTTTGTGGCATTTATAAGTTAATAAACCTTTTATGTAATAGAAATTATAAATCATCGGCTAATAATAGTAATCAGCTAACATTATATTAGAGACAAAGCTACGCTTAAAAATATCAACATTTTACTTGAAGCAGCCGGCAGCGTATGAGATTCCCATATTCTACCCCGTAAGGATGGCCACATACATACGGAATTCCGTTTCGCGATTCCGTTTCGGAATTCCGATTCGGGATTCCGAACGCAGCAATGTTAGGTATTTTTCCGTACGGAATTATGCGGGCAAAACGGGATTCCGTATGTGTGTGGCCGACCTGTTCGTTCCGTTTCGGAATCCTGAAGCGGAATCGCGAAACGGAATTCCGTATGTATGTTATCGGCCTAAGAGTCATAGGAGTAAACTGCGGAAAGTGTTAGAAAGAACGTATACTCGTAAATTTACAATAATAACGGTTTAATTATCTGGTATAAGAGAGATGAAAAATACCCAAAGCAGCAAAGAGCGTCAAATGTGTGAAACAATCGCAAGTATCGAAAACATTTAATAGAGAGGCAAACCCTCTCTACTGAGGCAGAGCCCGTGTTCAGCCGTTAACTATTTAAGGGCTGATAAAGAGAAGTAAAATAAATATCTACTTAATGAATACAATGAGATAAAATATTCGGCAGTCCATTGAGAATGAATATCAGCAAATAAAGGGTAGGTACTTTAGTTTAATTTAATAAACATTTTTATTTTATACAACAGGTATATTTGAAATTAATGAGAAGCAACAATTTGATGAAGAAAGTTTTTATACACATAGTAATTTGGAGATGGTGGGATTCCGTTACTTCTAGTTTTTTTATAAAACTGAAATTACAAATGAACTTAAGGTCCACCTAATGATTTCTTAAATTTACGCGAACACTACACATTGAATAAAACTATTATTTACGGATTTTATCGCGTTTAATTACTTAATTAGAGATCTATAGAAACCCGCGTGAAGGAACATATAGCTGATGTGAAGCACCGACGCTCCGGGAAGTCTGCAGTCTGCGAACATGTTCAAGATCGTCCCCACCATTACATTAGATTTGATAAACCACAAATTCTCGCAAAAGAACACCGATTCCTACCAAGGATGATACGCGAGGCTATTGAAATTAAAAAACATCCAAATTTCAATAGAGAAGATGGTTGGGTGCTACCATCTGCTTGGGATCCTATAATTAACAAAATTAAACCCAAACCCAAGCATACCACTGCAAGACTTCATGATACTATAAGCTCGTTTTGCGTAAATCGGACCAAAAATTAATATTAAAAAACTGAAGGTAGCCGGACTAACTATGACATTGGGACGTCAAACATCTCAGTCCCCCCCGTGACCATGGGCGCTGTAAAGCACCCGAAACGTCGGGATAATAATAAAAATAAATTAAAGTAATTAAACGCGATAAAATCCGTAAATAATAGTTTTATTCAATATTAAGGTCCACCTGATAGTAAGTGGTTACTCCAGCTTGTTTTAGATGTTGGTTGTCCATGAGCTGCAACAGCCACTTACCATCAGGTTAAACTACTTGTAACTTTTGGGCCACTTTTAATTTTATTGAAAATATTTTGTTTTTTATTGCCAATAACAAAACATTGAAGTTAAAAACAAAAACTATATTCATTTCTGTTCTAAACCTCAAATTACACAAAAAATTCACTACAATTAATTTGAATATACAATATTAGTTTAATGGATAACTTTTTACGTGGTAGAGCCATGCTGCAGCTATATTAATAGTATAATTGTAGCACGAATGGGTCGGCTCGAGCGGGGAAGGACCACGCTCTCACAAAATACCAACGTAAATCAGCGGCTCCAGGCTGCTGTATTTCGTGTGGTGCTTGTCGAAACGAGGCATTCCATCTTAGTCCTCACGGATATTAACGCATCTGCATTTTGAGTCGAAGTCGAGGATAGGTACAGATGTCTATGGGCCACAGTTACCACTTACCAGCAGGTGGACTGTGTGCTCGTATGTCACTCTTATCCTATAAAGTGAAATATTTCAAGTGAATTTGTAAAGCCATAAGGAATTTTAAGATATAATATTTAAATAGTTGCAGGATGATTGTGATCGTGCTTCACTATTAAGATCTCATCATCAGCTGTGTATATGGCGGCGCGGCATCCCAGGTGACAACCTGTAGAGCATCGCCACCGCACCTTAGGTCCAGAGGAGACCGACGCATAAAATGTATAACCGTTGAGTTTTATCATACGCTTGCCTTTCTGAGATATTATGAATTCGGCTGAAAAAGGAAGCCAGAATATAAAAAAAATATTAATTAAATGTTATCGTTCGTTACTTATCACTACTTTCATTACAATGTAAGGTTTTGTGATTGTTAATATCGCCACGATATGTTGGTTTATGAAATAAGATGTATATCAAGGTAGTTTATGCAAAACTAGGAGTATAAGAACGTACGAGAAACTTGTGTCATTTAAACATTTTATTGTTCTTGAGAACGTTACCCCCCATAATAGGAAATTTTCCTGTATCGTGAAGGCAATTTACATACAAAAATTGTATATGGACAAACATCCAGACCCGGAACAATTATTTGTTGGCCATACAAACATTTGTTCCGTGGTGGATTACGGTAACATTGGCAGGCGGATGATCATGCTTATCAATATATACGATAATTTCGTTGTTCATGGTTGTATGCAGGTGCAACCTGCTTCGATTGTGAATGGAGCACCTCCAGCGTATTTTGCTTCCAGCTAACGCGAACGACAAGTAAACATATGTAAATATAACCTTGAACTTCACCAGATTTTTCCCTTTCTTCAACATAATGAATTCCGCTGAAAAAAAACAAGGTTTTAGAACATGAGCCCTTGTATTTATTCTTATCTTATCTGCTATTTTATCAAGCTATACGTACCTTTTTACTACGTACCTTTTTATTTGAAAATTGGTATAAGAAATGTAAATCTATTTAACAGTTGTATATGCACGGAAGATATCGATATAGTCGACATTTATTGTAACATCCAAGAACTTTTCTTTAACAATGTATGAGTGGGGGAAGGGTATCTCTTTTCAATTGTGACAATAAATCATAATCAAGATTAATCTTAAGCTGATGGTGGAGTCTGTATAATTGATAGCAAGCATTCGAAGTCTCGTGCCTCCACTACATTAATTAGTTTATTTATATATTTTTATTGAGTTTTTACTTTATTTATTTTTTACTTTAGTACTTATATATAATAAACAATTTAAGGGGTTAAAATATTCCCAGATGACTAATTATAAAGTAACGTCATTGCACCATGGGATCGGAGCAGGGATGGGTACAAAATTTATAGTGATTACTCTTGCCATTTTGTAATATACTCATAAGTCTGGTTAAAAAGTTGGGTACAATAAACATAATTTATTTTGTTTTATTTTTAATGTTATATTGACCTGACTGCGACGAATATACGTTGGACAAATATTGAAAAATGTTATAACTACCCGTTTAAACTCTGATTTGCCACAGAGGTTGAATTTTGTACTCGAATAATAGGTAATAGAACTAACAGACATAAAATAAATAAGGGATATTTAGGAAGGTTTGTTTTACCGTAATGTTAACAAGTCTTAAGAAGACGGCATTTTTTGTTTGCTTATGTTAGCATATAATAAACGTATAACTTATTTTCGAAACACATTTAATTAAATATGCTTTTTATAATATATTTACATGCTTAATATAACGACGAATTTCACATCATTAACAAACCTGTTGTAAACCAGAATAATGCAAACCAGTCTCTAAGACCCTCGCTTCGGTTTGTGATCATGACTACCAATTACCTTAACTATAACGTCATCCTGCGTGTACAAAGTGGCTTTGCATCCGCGGGCGTGGTGCGACGAGCAATACCAGCGCACCACAGCTCTGTTTCCGCAGTACTTAGGCCATGCGGAAAACGTGTAGCCATCGAGACGTATCTGACGCTTGCCACGTACTGACGTTACGAACGCCGCTTCTGAACACAAAATAATTATTTAGAGGAGACATTGAAAAGCAGCGATTCCGTCGGACGAATTTGGATATTTTATTGCATATTTTACATGATTGTTTTGTACTCAGTGGATGTTTAATGTATAGAGTGTATAGAGGATGTAAAGTGCTTTTTTTTAAAAACCTAACCGCCACACTAGGGTTTTCACCCGTATCGTGTGGTACAGTTTACATTTACATACATAAATTTTACAAGGACAAACATCCAGACTCGAAACTATTATTTGTAGGCCATACAGAGAACTGAAGACCCCTTTTATTGGTAACAACACATTTCACCACAGTCGTCAAGTATGCTATTACCTACATATGCATTTTGATTCTTAATCGAACGTCAGTAGCAGCACAACATACACTTTTCAAAGTTTACATAGAAACGAGAATATTTTCTTAAAGAATAAGTGTGACGGCATATGAGGATACAGTCTAACAGGTAGTAAATGGATGCTATGGCCCATAGACATCGACATCTATCCTGGAATAAGAATCATAATGTTGCGTTGTCACCCCTTATGACTAGACCGAATGCCTCCTTATCAATTAAAAGGGCCTCCGGCTCTCTACACTTACCTGGGTGGATTGAAAAGTACTCGGCCTAACACAGATCCATTCAATTCTAAAAATCAAATCTACCCACATTATTTAGTTCAGTTCAGACTAGTTCATTGTGTGAAGTTCGAAACGTGTGCGATAATTAGTTGTGATTTTATAAATTTATTAACAAAGTAATCGGACATAATTTCCGCGAATGGAGCAAATCGAGCAGCGTGCCGTCATTAAGTACCTCCATAAGAAGGGGCTATCATCAAAAGCCATCCATGATGACATGGTCAGTACATTAGGCGATTGTGCTCTGTCATATTCATCCGTCAAAAAATGGATAGCAGAATTTAAGCGTGGTAGAGAGAGTGTGAAAGATGAACCCCGCTCTGGAAGGCCTTCGACGTCAACTACTGACGAAAATATTAAAAATGTACTTGATTTAATAATGGGAGACCGCAGATTAAAAATTAGAGAGATAGACGAGATTATAGGCATCTCTTATGAACGAACTCAAAACATCATTGTCAATGAGTTGGGTTTCCACAAGGTGTCTGCGAGGTGGGTTCCGCGACTGCTTTCAGTTGAACAAAAAAGGACGCGATTGACTATTTCACGCGACTGTTTGGAGTTATTTGAAGCCGATGCAGATGATTTTTTGAATCGTTTTGTTACTATGGACGAAACATGGGTTCATTACTGTACACCGGAAACAAAACAACAATCAAAACAGTGGAGAAGACCTGGTTCACCACCCCCTAAAAAGGCTAAGTCGATTTTGTCGGCAAATAAGGTGATGGCTTCAGTATTCTGGGACTCGAAAGGTGTGATTATGATTGATTATTTTGAAAGGGGTCAGACTATAAACTCTGATTACTACTGCACCTTACTACGTCGTTTACGAGAGGAAATAAAAGAAAAACGTCGAGGAATGCTCAGAAGAAAAGTCCTGTTTCATCAAGATAACGCCCGTGTTCACACGTATTCACCTGATCTGGCACCATCAGACTTCTTTCTGTTCTCTAACCTAAAAAAGCACTTGGGAGGTCAAAGATTTTCGACAAACGACGAGGTCAAAGCAGCTGTAGACGCATATTTTGACTCTAAGGAAGAATCATTTTTTTTCAACGGTCTAAATGCTTGGAAGGGGAGGTGGCAAAAGTGTATTGAACTTGATGGTGATTATGTAGAAAAATAAAAATATAACTGATTTAGTATGTGTTTATTTTCTTGGTTAGGCCGAGTACTTTTCAATCCACCCTCGTATGAAACACAGCAGCATTAAGCTGCTATTTCACGCTCGTATTGTGTGAGAGCGAGGTCCTTTGCCAATGGAGCTGACCCATTTGTGTTGCAGTCATATTATGGCTGTACCACGTATCTGAGGCAATGGAGCAATAAATCCGCTGTTACAATTCAGCTTGGCGTCCACATGTTCACATGACCCTACATGTCCTCAAAATATTCTATTTCTTATTAAGACTGGTTTCCTCACGATGATTTCCACCACAGCCGAGCACGTTGTAAAGCATCATTTAAAATTGCAATTGACATTTCGTCGGTGTAGTCGGGGATCAAACATGCTCGCGAAATTACGAGCAAGTATTTAGCCTTTAATCTACCACGGCCCTCAATATCAGTAAAATGACATTGATGATATTAATTAATGATCACTGGTATTAACAAGAAAATTTTATTTTTTGCCTCAATAAATCTGGTATACACACTAAAAAATATAAAATAATTATAAAGAATAAGTAATTAACTTAAACTAACTTTAAAGCGATAGTTGCTACATTGTTGCCTTGCCACTCAGATTAATAACGACCATCGTGTAGATGAATAGATGATAATGGAAAGATGAATGGATATCAGTACACGTTTTATGAGGTACACCAACAACCGTTTCAGCCTTGGCACTATATTTATTTTTATATTAATTAATAATTAAATAAAGATGAACATATATACAAAGCTTTCACCTAGAATGTAAACTTGAGACGTAAGTACAGTTCTAACGTGCATTATACATAAACATGTCTAGGAAAAAAGAACTTTATTTTAATAATTATACGTTTGGCGCCAAAATACAAAATGTAACATATTTTGCACTTTTTAAACGTAATAGAGCCACACTTTTACACCTAAAACGTTGCGTAAGCTGGATTTTGGAAAGGGAATGAGATGTAGGGATCACATATTTTCTATGCGCATAATCACAGAGAAGTTTTGTCTAAAATGCGAAAAGCTTTCTCTATTTGACTCGGAAAAGGCTTATGACAAAGTAGACATTATTTTATTGCTAACGCTGACCACCTTCGCGTTGAGCACCGGGCATACTGGATGTAAGCATTAAAACTCTTTATATGGACTCTTGTGCTTATGTTATGGTCAATGGGGTACACACATGCTGTTTTGGTATCCAAAAAGGTGTCAGAAAGTTGTGTAGTTTCTTCATGGTTGTTAATTCTGTTTATTGGCAGTTGTTTGGAAAGTTTGAAAGTCGAAAATGTGGATCAAGAATGGGTGACCTAACCGTCAAATGTATCTGGTAAGTAGCTGATAAAGTCGTAAACAAAAGTAAAACGAAAGTGTTGGTTCTTAAAATAGCAGAACGTCAAAAGGTAGGGGAAATAAGAATAGAATTAGTGTTAATCGAGTAAGTAGACGAGTTTGTGTATTTAGTGTATTTAGAAGAAATGGCAGACATGATAAGGATATAAAACGAAGTGTAAATTAAAATAAATATGGCTTTTCACTCTATTATGAAATTCATTTTGTGTTAAAAATAGACACGTATGGCAGTTACAATGCTGTGTTAGTCCTAACCTTATGCATGCTAGTGAAAGTTGCATAAGGCAGAAGAAACACGAGAGTAAAATAAATGCTGAAGAAATGCGATAATTTTTGTAGCATGTTCGGTGTGAATCTGAATAATAAGTTGATAAGTACGAAATTGTGTGCTCTTAGCAAAAGTGTGGTTTTCAAGAAAATGTTGTGACCAGTATTAAGAGAGCAGTACTTTGGTGACATGAACACGTAGAAAGAATAAATGAGGACAAAGTGTAAAAGCAAATTTACAAGCTGCTTTAGAAGTGAGTGGGCAAGTGTCACCATAGACGGTAGCTTATCGACAGAATTGGCGATATATTAAAGATGTGACATGTAAGGACTCATCGGAGAGCGTTTCTTTGAGGCGTTAGGTTCTTGCTTATTATCATCATTATAATTACAATAACCCTTCAGAAGTCCACTGCTGAACATAGGCCTCCCCCAAGTTATACCACAAAGCACGGTCGTAAACCACCGGCATTAATAGATTCATCGATAACTCTTTTATTTAGTTTCTGCACTCCGCTTGCAGGTACGAGGCTGTTATCCTAGAATCTCTCTTCCCGATCAGTTGTCGGTTCGTCGAGCTATATGGCCGGCCCATTACTACTTCTACTTGTTTATTATATTATTGCCTTGAATAAATTTAATATCGATATGAAATTTTAAATGAACAGAACAGATGCGGGCGGTGGATGGTTGTGCATGTTGACAACGCGTACAATCTTGTCGCACATCGTATGAATGGCCGCTTTGCATTTGTGAGCGGAATGCGAGGAGCATCTCCAGCGCCGACGTTCGCTCTTCTGTGGCGTCGAAGAGTACGTATATCCATTGTAATGAATCATGCGCTTCCCCTTCTGTGACATCACAAACTCCGCAGCTAAAACATTAATATTGATCACTTACCTACACTATAAGTTATAGAATTTTTACTGATATTTTAATGGTTTGTGCGTCTGGTAGTTATAGATTTTAAAATAGAGGTGAGCTATAATAAAGAATAGAAAAATTCCAATAGTTATATTTTAATAGTTTGAAGTGTTTTTATCGATCTTTTTGTAAATTTTTACATCTTGTAGAGGGATGTTACAATGAATGATGTTAAATCCGCTCACCAGATGTCGCCAGTTCACAGTGAGGTGAAGTTTTTTTTAAACAATGTCATTTACTTGTAAAGTTAATTTAAAATAAAAGTTTATCAGTTTTTAGAGTAAACAATGGTTTGCTCTTTAAATTTTTTGCAAAATTAGGTATAACTCTTTTTTTTCTACTTTTATGAATATCTGTGGTTTGGTTTATTTATTTTTAAATTAATTAATATTGAATATAAGTAATAGTACTGAAAGAAACATAAACTTTTACAATTTTTGAACAAATTAACTTAAAAATATTACACCTCAT